GGTTCATCCCAAAAATAATACTTCAAGTCAGCAAAGAACTTCTTTTTCTGTTGATAGCTCAGATCTGGAGGCAAAACTCCACACACTATGTAGTTGACGAAGTCTGCATACCATGGTGCATCCAATCTTTCTATGGCTAACAATTGATCATCTGGGAAAGAGTCGTCGATCGGTAGTTCATCCTCCTCCCTATCATGTGATTCTGGTTTCATCCTCGACAAATGGTCTGCCACCAAATTTTCTGTCCCTTTCTTATCCTTTATCTCTAGGTCAAATTCTTACAAAAGTAGTATCCATCGAATCAACCTAGGCTTGGCATCTTGCTTGCTCAAAAGATATTTGATGGCGGAATGATCAGTATAAATGATGACTTTGGACCCCACTAAGTGTTTGACCTGCATTATTATGTCTCGGATGTTATCCCATTTGTGATATGTATTATTTTATTCTGGTTTGTCCTTATATTCTTGCTGATTATGATCGGGGACCTGTGACATCGCATTGTATTTATTTTCAGACGCTTAGCGTATTGGATTGAGACCCCACTAAGTAAGACCTGAACTTGTCAAAGGCGAAAACAACTGCTAATAACTCCTTTTCAGTGGTAGCATAGTTAACTTGGGCCTCATCAAGAGTGTGACTAGCATAATAAATTGCATGAACTATCTTATCCTTTCTTTGACCCAACACAGCACCAACCGCGTAATCACTTGCATCAGTCATGACTTCAAATGGGAGATTCCAATCCGACGGTTGCATAATAGGAGCTGTTATCAATGCTTCCTTCAACCTACAAAAAGCATCAAGACATTCATCAGTGAAATCATAGGGAGCATCTTTAAGAAGAAGTTTAGTTAAGGGTTTTGCAATTTTTGAAAAGTCTTTGATGAAACGCCGATAGAAACCGGCATGTCCCAAGAAACTTCTTACTCCCCTAACCGACGTTGGTGGCGGCAATTTTTTAATGATTTGCACGATCAACTTCAATTCCTTGCTCGGACACCTTATGTCCTAGAACTATTCCATCCCTTACCATAAAATGGCATTTCTCCCAATTTAGGACTAAATTAACTTCTTCGCAACGCTGCAAAACTCAAGACAAGTTAGCTAAACAACCATCAAAAGTAGTTCCATACACAGAGAAGTCATCCATAAACACGTCCATAATGTCTTCTATAAAATCAGAGAAAATAGCCATCATACATCGTTGAAAAGTGGCGGGGGCATTACAAAGACCGAAAGGCATGCGCCTATAAGCAAAGGTCCCATAGGGACATGTAAAAGTGGTCTTTTCTTGGTCACTAGGATAAATAGGGATTTGAAAAAATCCCGAATAGCCATCTAAATAACAAAAATAGGAATGCCTTGCCAACTTTTCCAACATCTGGTCTATAAAGGGAAGTGGAAAATGATCTTTTCGGGTTGCCTTGTTCAATTTCCTATAATCAATACACATCCTCCAACCCGTAACCGTCCTAGTAGGGATAAGTTCGTTATTTGCATTCTTAACTACGGTCACACCTCCCTTTTTAGGAACCACATGAACCGGGCTAACCCATTCACTATCAGAAATAGGATAGATTACCCCAGAATCTAGTAGCTTAAGCACTTCCTTTTTAACCACTTCTTTCATGTTAGGATTTAATCTACGTTGGTGTTCTATAGAGGGTTTATGATCATCTTCCAAGAGAATTCTATGCATGCAAATTGATGGATTAATTCCCTTAATGTCGTTCATGGTGTATCCTATGACCTTGCGATGCATCCTAAGTGTTCTAAGCAACTTATCAGTTTCATTTTCATTCAGACATGCATTTACAATCACAGGATAAGTAAAATCAGGGCCAAGAAATTCATACCTTAAAGAGGAAGGAAGGGGTTTTAATTCTACCTTTGGCGCATTATCCTTTTCACAAATAGATCCTTTTGGCTCTAGCATATATCTTTCAAGCTTTGCATTTCGAAGTGGAGCAGTTGATGTTGATTCTAAAGATTGAGCAAACGCGGCTACCTCGGGGTCTTCATCATTTATTGAACCATCACTTACCAAACATTTCTCAAGTGGATCAGCTGAGTTATTGTTTGCAATTTGCTCATGTGTACACTTGTCAATGACGTCGACCCTGTAACAAATTTTATCAGTTAGAGGGAGTTTCATAGTATTACTTAAATCAAATTCTACCGTCTCCCCTCCAATATTTAAAGAGAGCCTTCCATTTTTAACATCAATTATAGCACCTGCAGTAGCAAGGAAGGGTCTTCCTAAAATAATTGGAATGTTAGAATCTTCTTCTATTTCCAAGATAACGAAATCGACCGGGATAAAGGACTTACCGACCTGGATAGGTACATCTTCAAGTATACCTACCGGATATCTTACCGATCGATCCGCCAATTGGAGTGATATCGTGGTTGGCTTCAAATCACCTATGCCAAGCTTCTTACAAATAGACTTCGGCATCAAACTTACGCTTGCACCTAAATCACACAAAGCACGATTAATAGAGACATTACCAATAACACAAGGAATAGAAAATGAACCTGGATCCTTAAGCTTAGGAGACAGCTTATTCTGGATGATAGCACTACACTCCTCAGTAAGGGCCACAGTCTCGTATTCTTCCAACTTCCTTTTATTGGATAGGATCTCTTTCAAGAACTTAGCATATGAAGGCATTTGAGAGATAGCTTCAGTGAACGGGATATTGATGTGCAATTTTTTTAAAATCTCCAAGAATTTTCCGAACTGCTTTTCTAACTTAGCCTTAGCTAATCTTTGGGGAAATGGTAGAGGAGGCTTGTAAGGAGCGGGAGCCACATATTTTTCAACTTTTTCTTCTTCTTGCGTTTGGGTCTCATTATCCACATCTATCACATTTTCATGTTTTTCTTCATGATGACCATCTACCCCATCATTTTCCTTCATCTCGGGTCACTCATATTGTTTTCCACTTCTAAGAGTTATAGCATTCACATGACTCCTGAGATTTGTCTCAGGTTGTCCAGGTAGCATGCCTGAAGGCCTAGAGGAAGAGTTAACATTTTGTGCCAATTGGGTGATTTGTGTCTCTAACATCTTGTTATGTGTAGCTAGGGAATCCATCTTAGAGGCCAATTGTTTGACCACCTCATTCGTGGTTTGTTGTTGCTGCTTAAATTCTTCATTCAATTTTGATTGAGTCGTCACAAACTTCTCCATCATATTTTCCAAATTTGACTTTTGAGAAGGGAAATTGGATTGAGGAGCACGAAAACCAGGTGGACCAAAATTAGATGCAGGCATGGGATTTCCAGGTGGGTTTCTATAAGAAAAATTAGGATGATTCCTCCACCCCGGATTATAAGTATTGGAGAATGGGTCTCCCTTCTGATTAAAGTTATTAACATAGTTAACTTGCTCATTACCAGAAGTATCAATGGATGGGGGGTTTCCTAATTGACATTGAAGTGCAGAATGACCCACATAGCCACATATCTCACATGAAATTGAAGTAGACACCACAGAATTAATACTCAATCCTTCAACTTTCTTAAATAAAGCATCAACTTGAGAGGATATATGGTCTAAATCATCTATTTCATACTTGCCTCCTTTTGATGTCTGAGGAGCACGCTCGTTCGCCCATTGATAGTGATTCTGAGCCATGTCTTCAATGAGAGTGTATGCCTCGTCTATTGTTTTGTTCATCAAAGCTCCTCCTGCAGCAGCATCCACAGTCATCCGTGTGTTGTAAGTGAGCCCGTTGTAGAAGGTGTGAACAATTAACCACTTTTCCAGTCCATGGTGAGGGCACATCCTCAATAATTCCTTGTAGCGTTCCCAAGCTTCATAAAGTGATTCTCCTTCCTTCTGTACAAAGCTTGTGATCTGGTTCCTCATCTGTGCTGTTTTACTTGGAGGGAAATACTTTGCAAGAAACGCTCTGGACAATTGATCCCAAGTGGTGATGGACAGAAATAATCTGAGTCGAATAGCATCATTGGTCACTCCATTAAGTTTCAAAGTGTCGCAATACTCCAAGAAGAATAGCATCATTGGTCACTCCATTAAGTTTCAAAGTGTCGCAATACTCCAAGAAAATCGATAGGTGGAGGTTCGGGTCTTCAGTAGCACCTCCTCCAAACTGATTCTGCTGAACCATTGAGAGCAGTGATGGTTTCAGCTCAAAGTTATTAGCTTCAACATTGGGCCTTGTAATGCTTGACTGTGTGCCTTGAGCATTTGGGGCTGCGAAATCCTTAAGAAGCTGATTTTGATCTCCCATCGTAGCTTGTTCTGTGTTCCTTTGCTCCCTTATAGACCTTCTTATGTTTGCAAGAGTCACCGATAGTTCAGGATTGTTTTCGTCGTTTACTTCTGTTTGATTCCCTTGCATAAAAGAAAGTGAGAAGCAAAGAAAAATAAAAAAAATATCTAGTCTAGCTTAATAACGTAGGCACTCAATATTAACACCGTAGTCCCCGGCAACGGCGCCAAAAACTTGGTAGGGCAAAATCCGCAAGCGCACGAACTCGTTGTAGCTATCAAGGTCGGTCCCACAAGGACTAGGGTTAATTACCAAATCTCACGTTATTCGACTAGCTAAATCAATGAGTAAATTAGAAGAGATTTAATAAAAGAAATAAAATAAACAACTAATCGGATGGAATTCAATATAATGAAGGACTAGGATTGGGTTATCACCACAACTTAGGTGTTCAATGATGGATTATTTCAATTCTTGGTGTTGGTTTAATCTAAAAAGGGTGAATTAGCCTAAATTAATCTAAAGCCTCTTTCAAGGTCTAAAGATCGTGCTTAATCAATCTCAATTAACCTACTTTCGTGGAATCAAGATTAAATTAAACCCATTAAGCTTTATGCTAATCCAAATCAAATCCCCAAGGAATCTAGCCTACTTTCGTGGTTCGAGCTCCCTGCTTAATTTCTAGAGATCCGGTATTAATCTTCACCTTTCAGTCCTTCAATTAATTACCTATGATTGCTAATACGGTGATCAAGCGAATCAACAAGATTAAAACATAAGAAATTAAGTTTAAAGATCTAAACTTTCACCAAGAACATATATTAATTTATCATCAATCACCAAAAAGTTGGGTTCTTTCCCAACCCTATACAAGAAATCTACTCACACATGATTGGAATAAGAGAAGACATCAAATAATTATGCAAATCAATCATAAGAAGAAATAAATCAAAGAGAGGAAAGAATTAACCCGTCTTTCAATTGAAATCTTCAAAATAAGAACTTGCAATCCAATCTTCTACAAGAGATTAATGTCTTCCTTCAATACTTGAACCCTAGAATAGTTGCTAGTTGATGGCTAAAAGAACATAACAAAAGATATCCAAAACCCTAAGTCAAAACATCTATTTATATGTCCCTAAAAATCTGCGAAATTCCAGTTCTTCATACTCGTGCATCCATTTTCTTCACGAACCATGCCTTCAAAATCTTGTTGTTGCTTCAAACTCTTGTAAAACTTCCAACGATCATCAAATATTTCAATCTTGAGCCAATACCTACATATAAGAACACAAACCACAGCAGTATCCTCGATCTAAACACGAAATATGCATTAAACACTCGTAAATCATGCTTGTAACACACTAAGATAATGCATATTTTTCGTGTTTATCAACTCCCCCAAGCTTAGACTTTTGCTTGTCCTCAAGCAAATAGACAATAAAGAAAATAGGAGGAGTGGAAGCCAAATAGAATAGGGATCACCCCCTCATCAATCCTTTAACCAATATCAAACATATCACAAAACAAATACTTTTCATCGGGACTTAACAAATTAATTTCCAAAACTCTCAACAATATCACATTTCAAAATTTATTTACGATCACAAGCGTCACAAGTCAAGGATAGCCATCCTATCCAATTCTCAAGTCAAAGTAGGAAAAAGAAATTCATGTAACTAGCTTCAATCCCAAAGTACTAAAATTGAGGCTTTCAGGTAGCTAAATTGGTAGACCACACTTTAGGATAAGTGGACTCTCAATCTCTCATGTATTTAAGGATGAGATTGTATCGCTCAAAATTCTTCCGAATGGATGTATTCAATCCATAAGCTTGCATTTCATCTCAATTCTCCACCACTTGAGGTCTTTTATTTGGTTGTAATGGGGCTAGGGTCAAAAGGGTAGGATAGATATTTGGAATTGGTTGAAAGCCTATCACTAGTGGAGCTATGATTGCAAAAGATTAGATCTCAAAGTAAGATCAATGACATCCACACAAACTCCATCATATATCAAAGAACTTCTTCCAACTACTCCTTTTAGTATGCCATAATGAATTCTTTCGACACCTGCAATTACATACACCATAAAGATGACACTTTATTCTTTTTTTTTCGAATTAGTTTTTTTTTCTTCCTTTTTTTTTCTTTTTTTTTTGAAAAAATTATGAAAAGGGAAGCAAACGCCTACTTTCACACCCCCAAGCTTACACCACATTACTCACATAACCCATTGTATCATAAAATGTGCTCCACTAGCTTAGGCAATGGGTAAGGAATAAAATCGGATTTTGAAGGTTACATATGTGGGTTTAATCAACAAAAATTAGGCTCATAGGATCAAGGGGGCTAATCAAAGGAAACAATAGTGCATGGTAGGCTATTTGGCTAATGTGGACTATAAACAAAAATGTGCCTCAATCACCTTTTATGCATACAAAAGTTATATGTGGCCTTGAAGAGATTCAATGCAAGTTCTAGTATCCTACACCATTGGAGAATATCACACAAGAAAAGAAAATAATTATTGGATATGTAATGCATCCAATTTAGGCTCAAAGTCTCACCGGTTTTATTTGTCTACCAAATTTAATTTCCCTCTTGTCTCAATAGAGTAATGGTCATGATGCTAGCCACATAAACGCTAAAACCTATAAGACAATAGAACATTCAAGTTTGGTTCTCCCATATTGTTAACTTGTAATCAAAAGCCTTTGAGAATCAGTTGAAAGATGGTTTAAGAAGTTGCCAAGTCCCAATTAATGAGCATCTATCTAGTTCAATGATCGATAAAGGTTAATGATTCATGTCATCATCAATGATCGATAAAGATTAATGATTCATGAGAAGGACTGACTACGGATGCAAAAGAAAAGACTGACAAATGCCCCTTCGGCTCAGGAAGATCAACAACATTTAAGCCTAGGCTTACCTGAATCGCCAGTCTCTTTCCCGTCTCCGATTTCCTCCTCTTCGTCCGAAGGAATAGAGATCACTCTCTCAGCTGCACCTGCTCAGATTAGACACCGATGTCAGAAGATACAAGATTCGGCTTTGTGCTCGAGAGTACTAAAAATTATTACCTCCGAGTGCGGGCGTAGGGGTCGTTGAGACCCCCGCCTATGGCCCCACACCAGGTGGAGGGGGAGTGAGAGGTAGACCGAACAGCTCCAGCCCCAAAGGCATCATCATCCTGACCCTCCGCCGCTCTAGCGGCCTCCATAGTTTCCTCGCGACGGGTCTTCTTAGCCGCTTCCACTCTGGAACCCTCCGCCATCATCTCCCGCTACCGCTTGGAGAGAAGCGAACTACTCGGAGATAGAAGGGGCATTCCCATCCGCCCCGCTATCGCGCTCCGGGCTCGCTTCAGCCTCTCGCCTGTCCGGGTTAACTCCTCAGATTCTCCCCGCTCACTCTGGGGGTCCAACGAAAGACCAGGAGAGGGAGCTCGGGTCTCAGGCACCTCAGATTCGTCTAGACCCGCGTCGCCGCCCTCAACGTCCTCAGCTGGGTCCTCCAGAAGCCACTCCTTAGCAGTTTGGCGACCCCTCCGTCTCGAAGAACGGAGAGGCCTTACGGGGGGACGCCCTTGTTCCGCCAAACACGAACCCTGGAACCAGAAGCCCTCGGGATTAGCGCTAGCATCCCGATACCATCGGCAGTACAGGAGAGTGTGATGCAAATCACGGTCCTTCTCCGGTAGCTCAAAGCGGGCCTGGGTACTGCCAACATGGGTCCAGAACCACCCCCGAGCTCCATCCACTAGCCCTCCTTCGAAGTGCAGATGGGGGTTGGCGTTGCCCACAATTGATCATACCCAAACTGGCGGGCGAACCGGCAGGGGATATACGGCTCAAGATAGCACACGGAGCCTGTTCGTAGGATATGATACCCCGGCCGAATGTTCACCAACCAGCAGAAGGCGCCACGAGAGAGAACTGTGTGATGATCCGCTGTCGGCGCATCTCTAAAAGACTCCCCGTATCCTCCTCCACTAAAAAAGGGAAAGAAACGGCAGAAGTTGTAGTGGACGAAATGGGAAAGTGTCTTCCGCGCGTCAGGAATGTCCTTACACTTCCAAGAGCACTTCCCCAAGTGCTCAATGAACGGAACAAACTTGTCTCCCTGAAGAGTCGCAGGGACGCTCATCAAACATTCGCAATGGCAGACGAACCATGCCATCAAATAAGTATACCGCAGTCCTACTCTGGGATTAGGGGTCCTGATGACTTCCCCTTCCCCTTCGTCGACAGTCGACACACAGCAGAATTGGGCCGTCAGGGTACGGAGCCCCCGGTGGATACACGCTATCGTCGCTGATACCAAGGAATAAGACTTCCCATGGGCTAGGCAAACCGCTGGATACACAACTTCCACAGGGAGAACCTCAAAAGAGTGAGTGGGGATTACGCACCTCTTCAACCACAACATGAGATACCCTGCAAGCAAGGTCTTCCCAGATATAGGAGACTTGGCCTGGTGGTGGAACGAGTGGAGGACCGTCCCGGATTTGAATCCGCCCTCGTCACACTCAAGAACTACTGTAACTTCCTCTTCGGCCATCCTCCTTTCCACTTCAGCCTGGTCGCACCTGCCTAGAGGAAGAGCAGGGTTCCCTTTGACATCGTTCC